CGTTAATTGCGAGTGACTTTTTGCGAGGTTTCGAGAACGAATTCTTTGATCACGCGTCTCGAGCAATTGTGCTCTCTTTTCGCGGTTTTATACTGGCACGATGAGAGAGCAAAGGGAGGGAGAGAAAGAGAGTAATCAAACGCGTTACACTTTTATGTAGGTAATTATGTGAAAAATAGTTGCACTCCGCGAGCGGTTAACGTCAGTACTTTCCAAACGTGACGAACTAACGAGTGCTCCAGTTCTGAAGTACGTCATCTGGGTTATCAATTACGCGGCACGTTACGCGCACGCGGAATGATTAATGACGCCATAAATCCACCTTTGGTAGTTGCTCGCGCTCTGGTAAGTAAGACCTGTCCCGAGATTTACGGTTTCATTTCGATTCGCTTAAATTGCTCGTTACCGTTACCGGGAAATCTCGGCTTCCTCCTCGAGCCTCGAACCGGGCAGATTGACAGCCGAGAGGAGAGCTTTGCCCCTCTCGTGCCTCGAAATCCGCGTATATAACGTATGTATAACGTACGTATAACGCGTCGCCCTCGTAGACGGAGCGAGCGAGCGAGGGGAGGGAGTCTCATCATCGCGTTACATCGCGAATTCGTAACTGGCGCGTGACGCGTATCTCGTAATCGCGTTACGTACTCGCGAGATATCACGAACGACGGTAAATTATTCGGTAGCTCGAGCGCACCGTGTGTACTCCAGTTTATTATGTAAATGTTTGTACGACGATAGACCGTTATCGCTGTCCTGCCAACCTACCAACCGAGGTACCAACACAGAATCCAGAAACGCGTCATCTCGCGAAATCTTCGCATCTTCTTCCGTTACGCGCCGTTCTATACGCTCGCTCCAACCTTCCCACTTCCATTTCCAATTTCGCGTTCCCCGAAATGACCGACGTCGAAGATCGAGTTTCTTCGAGAGAAGTCTGGGAAATTTTCTCCCTTTTTTTCTTTTTTCGTTGAAAAGGGGACCACGATAAGAGAGATACGGAAAAGATTAGGCTCGCTCGCTTTGAAATTCGAAGGTGTATAGTTACCGTGGCGAAGGTGGCGAATGGTGATGGTCTCTTCTAAGGTCGAGCAAATATTTGTCAACGATTTAAAAGGGATTTCTGCGCGCAGTCGACACTGTACCGTCGCACCTTGCTCTCTTACCTGTCCACGACGTCCACACGACGGAGTGTTTGATAAATACATTAGAAGGTTCGTGGTTTGTTTCGACGACAGGTATTTAACAGGTATTTAAGTAGGTTCCGAGGAATGTGTTCGCGGAGTCACGGGCGTTTCCAACTTTTCTCCCTCCCCTCCTTTTTCTTTCTTTTCTCTCTCTCGTCGAGACGCTCTCCGCTGGCATCTCGCGGCATTGCACGGGCGAAAAGGAAGCGTTTCGTCCATCTACGCGTTTTCGCTCTCCCTTTCGTTCGTTGGTTCGTTGGTTCGTTCGAATCGAGGGCCGATTACTCGATCGGAACCGGATTCTCGATCGAGATTCCTCGATTTTGTCGCGAGGAATACTATTCACCGTTCCACGTTCCCTCGCTCACTCTCGCCTTCGCTTCTCGAGAGCACTCTCCCTCTCGGTTCCACGCCGCGTTTCACGGTAGCGCGGAGAGACACGCGGAGCAGCGGGATCCAAAGGTGGACAAAGACGACCGAGTCGAGGAGTAAAGAGGTAAAGAAACGAGCGAGGATGGACAATGGTCTCGCTCGAAGCGTCACCCGTAAATCTCGTTGAGCGCGTATAATTTGTAAGTCGGCAGCAGCCCCTCGCCTCCTTCTCTCTGCGCGCGCGATCCCTCTTCGTCTCTGGGGCCAGACCGCGACCCGTCGTCGTCGTTCTCGGCGTCCTCGTCTCTCTCGTCGTCGTCGGCGTAGTCGTCTCAAAAGCAGAAAAAGCGAGGGACCCGTGCCCCTCTTAGATAGTAGATTCGGCTCCAGCATTCTTAAACGTTTCTCCTCTCGTCCATTCCGCTCACCCCCCGTCCTCGCGCTCTCGAAACTTGCGCTCGCGCCGTCACCGTCGAGCACCGTTCCATTTAATTGGGCCGTGTACCCTTCATATGACACGGTTCGCTCGTTTAGTTCTCTCTCTAGCCTAGGCGGGAAGCGTGCCGCGCTCGCTCATTGATCGTCGCCTGACCCAGCAAGTTAACGAAACGATCGAGACCGACGACCTTCCTCTCTATGCGTGTGTATACGTGTACCTGTGTGCGTGCGTGTACGTATACGACCGGCTGGCTAATCATTGCCAACCAGAATCCTCGCGTCCTTACTTTCTTCCGTCCGAACATTCGAAGCGAGCGTTCGCGAACGAACGGGCAGGGAGAAAAAAGTGTTCAAAGATCGGCGATCGACGACGCGGTATCGTAACGAGCAGTTGCCGATAATACGATAGCGTTCGGTCGGGTCGCAAAGTCGGCCAATGAGCCGCGGTGGGCAGTCCACGGCTACCTTCTCGCTGGTTGGACAACCCGATACTCCCACCCGATGCACTCTATCTTACCTGGCCTCTCTCTTTCTTTCCCGCGGTGCTACAATCTCATAATCATAAGAGGCACGCGTGTGACGGCTTTTATCGGGCCCTGGCCAACCGATACTCCACCATCTGTCTCCCTCCCTCCCTCTCCCCCGCCCCCAAACCTCGACAAGGATGCCTGCATCGTGTTCCACGATGCAACACAAGCGCAAGTCGCAACCTGCCGAATCGCGGCGGCGGCGTATACGCTTTCCTTCTTGGCTCGCTGCAACCACAAGCGGCCAGAGTCGTAAACCGCGGTTCAAAGTGGATGTTTGCTCCCGATACCGGCCGTATTTCGGTCAGCCTCCGCTCGTAATGCTTATTTTCGTCGCGGACGCTTCTCTCCAAGTTTCGCCGAGGATTAGTGTACCCTCTTGCGCCGGTTTGTCTATTTGCGGCCGTAAAAGCTCGATCTTTTCGTTTCGCTCGGGGCAAGGAGGAGGAGGAGGAGGAGAAGGGAAGAGGGGGGTGGAAGCGCAGGGGGATGACCGCACGCCTCCTCCCTCCGTATCCGTTTACACAATCGCGAGCCGATCCTTGGCGTTGATCCGCGATTTCGACAGGACGAAGAAACGAGAGGAGGGGAGGGTCGTTCGATAGATATACGCGGTCGTGGTTTGTCCAGGGTCAGTTTCGTAGGAAAGCGAAACGATAAATTTAGTTCTCCACTTCCTCGAGCGCGACATCGCGATCCCCCAACTTGTACGACAGAAATAATTTTGTCCGGCCCTGATTTATCGCCTAACGAACAACATTACCGAGATTCTGGGGAGGACACTGAAACATACGCGTACTGAAAACAAATGATACGTTCTTTGTCTAGTGCGATGGGTGTGCAGTAGCGATTCTTAAAGCTGGTCCGCGGACACCTAGGAATCTCACATTTAATAGCCCGTGTTCCGCGAATAATTTATTATTTAAAAGTTGATTTAATAATTTCCTTGTTTCAAAGAAATACCATCTCTTTCGAGCGATTCTCGTTCGTGTACGTAAGAATACAAGCTTCGAAACTGACATAATTTCATCAAGCTGACATTTCATTTTTCCTCGTCGATTCTTAAAATTATTCTTTCAATCGAATACACGCGTTATTTTTCTTTCTCACTCCTATTCCATGTTTTTTTATTTCTTCCAATTCCTTCGCGTAATCGCTGTATTTTCTTCTCTCGCGTTAAATAAGCGAGAGTGTAAAATTATAATGCATAAGTGTCCATAAGCAAATGATGGATACAATCGTACGAGGAAAAAAAAAAAAATAAAATTAGAGAACCGTCGGTACAAAAGACCACTTATCGATGATTGATCCTTAACCGTATCCGATAAATTTTCTTCGTGCGCGGATAATCGCGTTCAGAAAAAAAAAAAAAAGAGAGAGAAAGAAAAGAAAAAGGAATTCACTACACAAATGATCGTTTAACAATGATCATAGTCGTAGAGAGACGATTGGGTTCGGTCGTTCTGTAATTACGCCACATTCCGACAGTTTACGATGACAATTCTCGCGTAAACGCGTGGAGAAAGGACGAATCGTAAAATCGTAATTTTCTCCTGCCTCCTGGGTGTTAACGGCGCGGCGATTCCTCTCTCTCTCTCGTCCTTTTCCATTTTCTGCATTGCAAATTAATTACGCTAAACACGTACGTGTCACAATCGCGCGCCAACGCGCCTCTCCTCTTTCTTTTCGAAGGCCGCGCCGCATGGATCCGTGAGATCATTCGAATTGTCGGAGATTTATCGGATTCGTGGCGTCACGAAGCGTTTCGTTTTGCTTGGCTAATGGCGGACGCGCGTTCAGACGACGTAACGAGCGATTAGTCTAAAGCGGTTGCTCTTCACGGACGGGTGGCAGACGATAAAAGTTATAGGGGGCAAGCCGTCCCCTTCCCCCTCCCCCTCTCTCTCTTCCCCGAGTAGTTAACGCGAGTGGAACGCGTGTCCCGTACGAGCAAAAGCACGGAATCGATTTTCGTGGAATGTTTAGGACGGGGGCGTAGTCGCGTTTCCCGACGCTAGACGCTCCGCCAGAAGAATTCGAAATTGTTTCGATGGCGTGCGCGCCACGTAGCCGTTATGTATGGAATTTTAAGACCCTCCCCCTCGTTGTGTTATCCAACTTACTCTAATTTTATTACAGTCTTCGCACAGATTCGATCGGATTTCATTAAATCGCGTGCCACGAATAATTCGTTACGTACGCTTTTCTTTCAAAGAATTCATGCGTCGAGACGTCTGTTCGAAAGGAGTTCGAGAAAGAAGAGCGCCACGAATTCCACGAGGTTCTTGAGAGAAACGATCGAAACGCGACCTAGACTCGGTTAACCCTTGCCATCAATTTGTTCGGGCATTCTTCGACCCTTCTTCTCCTTTCTTCGAGTTAAATTCGTTCCCTTTCTTTCACACGCGCGCGATTCGCGACTCTCAATTTTCTCCTTTTCCTTCGATACCCGGCTATTTTCCGGCTATCATTAATCCCGATCATGTTTCCAGACACTTCTATTCTTAGTCACCACCTGTGATTCGTATGGAATCCGATTGGCTCGAAATTGGAACGAGAAGCTAGAGCGCTGCTTTCGATCCACCAGTTTCCTCTACCAGGGATGGGATAGGAGCGGTGTCTTCGCTCGCTCTTGCTCTCCCTCTTTCTATTCCACGGTTGCGCCGCGGCCGTGTCTCGTGCCTTCGCTCGTGTCGTCGAGCAATAAGAAAATGATTTAGATTAAGCGCGCATATCCACTCGACAAGAGCTGTTGTGACTTTCCACTTCCGTTCGCTATAAATACTTTTTATTTTATTTATCTCTCCCTGTATCTCGGACAGATCTTTCGCTTCCCTTTATTTCCTCCCTCGAGGACACGAGGACAGATCGTTTGAGGGTGATCGATGGTAGTCGAGGGGAGGGGGAACGAACGGATCTCTCTCGATCGGATTATCCTACTCTCTCTCGATGTCCTCGAAGGCGAAGTTGCCAACTTCCGTCGTGTTTTCTTCCTATCCTCGAGGGTCTCGTTCGGACGGTGAGAGATATTCGAAGAATTCACCGGTGGACCCAACGATCGTTCTTCTTCTGCTGCTTCTCCTCCTACCTCCGTTCGTGGGGTACCTCGTTCCGTTCCTTCTTCTCCTTCGGACTCCTTTCGGCAACCGGAGGACGGGCCCGTTCTCTTTTTCTGATACTCTCTATCGAGAGTATATCGTCCTCTCCCTTTCCGACTCTCACGAATCGACCGCGAACGAACATTGGAGAGGACGTGGCCGAGAGTGAGGCCGGAGCAACGTTGCTCTCTCGTCACTGTCTATCCGAGCAGACAGCGTGGAGCTGCCTTCGAGCAAAGTGAGTGCGTCTAATGAGGCAATAAATAAGTCGACCGCCCTAACCGGCCTCTCCACGCTTTTCGTTCGCGACGACGACGACGAGGACGAGGACGAGGACGAGGACGAGGACGAGG